TTCTTGAACAAGAGGCAGGCTGGGTACCAAGCCTCAGCCCCGCACAGTGGCCCATTCAAAAGGACCAAGGTTTCCCAGCGGAATATGGCGCGGTCCCTGCCGGCTAAGGAAGGGTGGGCGGGGCCTCCACCCAGGCAGCAGAAAGTACTGCTAGGCGCCAGCAGCCAGCAGTGAAATAACTCGGGCCACTCTCTCAGGACGGCTGGGACGTCGCCCACGCCCCACAAAGATGGTGTCGGAGCAGCTGGGCCCGTCCGTCTTGTGGGGCTCTCTTTCACAGCTCCTCCCAGGAGGCCTGCTGGCGCAGTGGGCCACAGGCTGGCTGCTAACACAAGGTCAGCCACTGCACCCCCAGCCCTCAGAGGGAGAAGAGTGTAGCTTCTGGGCTCCCATGAAGAGTGACATTCTCATGGAATGGCCTGCCTACTGGGGGCACAGCAGGGGGGCAGGGAGAGGGGGTGCGGGGAAATGGGGAGCTAATAGTAAGGCACGCAGGGAAGAGGAATGTGTTCTCAAATGGATTATGGTGGCCGTTGTAAGATTCCTCTTAACACTATTGAACCAGTGGATTGTAGGATGTGTGAATTATAAGCCAGTACGCTGTCAGATAAAAATTGAATTTTTTGTGATGATGCCCGGCTATCAAAAGATATAGAGTCTGAGGGCCTATAGGCTTGAAGATAAGCAAGCGGCCATCTAAATGAAAAAACAACAAAGCCCACATGGAAAAAGCACACCAGCCTTTGAGATCCGGTATCAGGCATCAAAGAACAACAACAACAAATCATAGCACTGTGAATGAGGGGGAGTGCGGTGTGGGGACCCAGGGCCCGTCTGTGGGCAACTGGACATCCGCTTGCAGAAGGGCCACAGGGAGAAGATGAGCCAGTCAGGGTGCAGTGTAGCAACGATGAAGCATACAATTTTCCTCTAGTTCTTGAATGCATCCTCCCCCCCACGATCATGATCCCAATTCTACCTTACAAATCCAGCTAGACCAGAGGATGTACACTGGTTCAGATAGGAACTGGAAACACAGGGAATCCAGGACAGATGATCCCTTCAGGACCAGAGGTGAGAGTAGCGATACTGGGAGGGTGGAGGGATCTACCTGTAACCTCCTCCCTGGGGGATGGACAGTGGAGAAGTGGGTTAAGGGTGACATCAGACGGTGTAAGATATGACAAAATAATAATTTATAAATGATCAAGGGTTCATTCTTTTTGGTGCCGTGACTTTGAGTATTCCATGCATCTTCTTTCCACGGCTCCTGCATAGGTCAAGATTTTGCCCATGGAATCCCGTCATGTTGCAACTCGAGCCTTGAACTGTTGGTCATCTCTTTCTGCTGGAGTTATGCTGAGCACACTCTTCCCTT